AAAGCACAGTCTAGCACAATACCAACAAAGAGGAAAAATAACAGCTCTCAAAAGAAACCAGCATGGCTGCATAAAGAACTCTCTGACAAATTGAAAGATAAAAAGGACAAGTACAGAAAGTGGAAAGAGGGGAACATAACTAAGTCAGAATATCAGCAAATAGCCCGAGCCTGCAAAGATGAAGTGAAGAAAGCCAAGGCTCAAAATGAACTAAGGCTTGCGACCAAAGTCAAAAATAACAAAAAAAGCTTCTTTCAACATGTAAAAAACAAGAAAAAAGTGAAGGAAATGATTGGTCCATTAGTGGGTGGAAGTGGCAAGAAGGTGACAAGCAACAGGGAGAAAGCAGAACTATTTAACTCATTTTTTGCATCTGTCTTTACACAAAGGGAAAAAACAGACCAACCTATCAAAAATAGTGCCATAAAAAACAAAACAGAAACACAAGTTAAGATAGGCAAGAAAATGGTAAGTGAGCACCTGTCCAGCCTAGATGAGTTCAAATCGCCAGGACCAGATGGATTACACCCCAGAGTTCTCAAGGAACTGGCAGATGTGATATCGGAGCCACTGAACTATATTTTTCAAAGATCCTGGAACACAGGGGAACTACCAGAGGACTGGAAAAGAGCTGATGTAGTTCCCATCCTCAAAAAAGGAAAAAAAATGGATCCAGGAAATTACAGACCTATCAGCCTGACCTCAATACCTGGGAAGATCCTGGAAAAGATAATCAAACAACGAATCAACGAACACCTAGAGGCAAACAAAGTCATTACTAAAAGCCAACATGGGTTTGTCAAAAATAGATCATGCCAGACAAATCTTATTGCATTCTTTGACCAAGTGACAAAATTAGTGGATCAGAGGAATGCTGTGGACATAATTTACTTGGACTTCAGTAAGGCATTTGATAAAGTAGATCACAACCTACTACTTGACAAGATAGAAAAATGTGGGGTAGACAGAACCACCACCAGATGGATCCGTAGCTGGCTGACCGGCCGTACTCAGCGAGTGGTCCTCAATGGAACTGCATCTATATGGAGGGAAGTGTGTAGTGGGGTGCCCCAGGGCTCTGTTCTGGGCCCAGTACTCTTCAACATCTTCATCAACGATTTGGATGAAGGGATAGATGGGGAACTCATCAAATTTGCAGATGACACCAAGCTGGCAGGAATAGCCAACACTCCAGAAGACAGGCTTCAGATACAGAAGGATCTGGACAGACTTGAACACTGGGCACTAACTAACAAAATGAAATTCAATGGTGAAAAAAGCAAGGTTCTACATTTAGGCAAGAAAAACCAAATGCACAAGTACAGCATAGGTGGCACCATGCTCAATAGTAGTAACTGTGAGAGGGACCTCGGAGTCCTAGTAGACAATCACGGCACAGCTGCCAAAAAGGCCAACACAGTAGGCTGCATTAACAATCATCACTAAATATGAGCCAGCAGTGTGCGGCAGCTGCCAAAAAGGCCAACACAGTACTAGGCTGCATTAACAGAGGGATAGAATCAAGATCACGCGAAGTATTAATACCACTCTTCAATGCCTTGGTAAGGCCACACTTGGAATACTGCATCCAGTTTTGGTCACCACGATTAAAAAAGATGTTGAGACTCTAGAAAGAGTACAGAGAAGAGCAACAAAGATGATTAGGGACTGGAGGCTAAAACATATAAGGAACGGTTGCTAGAATTGGGTATGTCTAGTTTAACGAAAAGAAGGACAAGGGGGGACATGATAGCAGTATTCCAATATCTCAGGGGCTGCCATAAAGAAGAGGGAATTAAGCTATTTTCCAAAGCACCTGAAGGCAGGACAAGAAGCAACGGGTGGAAACTAATCAAGGAGAGAAGCAACCTAGAACTAAGGAGAAACTTCCTGACAGTGAGAACAATTAATCAGTGGAACAGCTTGCCTCCAGAAGCAGTAAATGCTCCAACACTGGAAGTTTTTAAGAAGAGACTGGACAGCCATTTGTCCGAAATGGTGTAGGGTTTCCTGCCCGAGCAGGGGGTTGGACTAGATGACCTCCAAGGTCCCTTCCAACTTTACTATTATTATTATTATTATTATTATTATTATCGCTATTATGACCTTCCCAGCCAACTTCTAACAAGCAAAGTCAATGGGGGAAACCAGATTCACTTAACAACCATATGATTCACTTAACAAATGCAGTTATTTGCTTAACAATTGGGCAAAAAGGTCTTAAAATGGGACACAACTCACCTCACAACTGCCTTGTTTACAGTGAAAATGTTGGGCTTAGTTGTGTTCGTAAGTCAAGGAATGCCTACAATCAGCAGAGGAATGCTGCAGTTTTCTTTACTTCCTTGTCTAGAAGACTTACTCATTACTTAGAATGTAACATGCCTCCTGAGGATTTGACTGATTCTTTCAGAACTAATCCATTACTTTCCATTCAGTTTAGCACCTCTTGTCTTCTGACTTTGATTTGTACAGTTTGGTCCTCCATGATCCAAAAGAGACTTTACAGATTCTTAGCTGTAGAAAAGACTAAGTAACTCAGGCTTTTCTATCACTATGTTATTTTCCTAAATAAAGTTTATCATTGTTGGGTTCTTGGAATTCTCTGAGTTTGCATCTTACAGGCATATGATCAATTTTGAAATCCCAGATGAATATGCCATCAGACTTTCAAGAGTTTGTTTTTTTCCCCAAACAGAGATTCTTGAAGATTTCCTGGGATAATAGAATTTTTGAGTAATTTTGAAGAATAAGCTCCTTTGAAATCTGTGGTCAGAACTTCAAGTCCCTTTATCATCTACAAACATCTGTAAATTAAGAAAAGATGTTGGGACTCTAGAAAGAGTACAGAGAAGAGCAACAAAGTTGATTAGGGGACTGGAGGCTAAAGCATATAAGGAAAGGCTGCTGGAATTGGGTATGTCTAGTTTAATGAAGAGAAGGACGAGGGGGGACATGATAGCAGTGTTCCAATATCTCAGGGGCTGCCACAAAGAAGAGGGAGCCAAGCTATTCTCCAAAGCACCTGAAGGCAGGACCAAAAGCAACAGATGGAAACTAATCAAGGAGAGAAGCAACCTAGAACTAAGGAGAAACTTCCTGACAGTTAGAACAATTAACCAGTGGAACAACCTGCCTCCAAAAGTGGTGAATGCTTCATCGCTGAAAGTTTTTAAGAAGAGACTGCGCAGCCATTTGTCTGAAATGGTATAGGGTTTCCTGCCTGAGCAGAAGGTTGGACTAGATGACCTCCAAGGTCCCTTCCAACTTTATTAGTATTAGTACTATTATTATTATTATTAAAAATATTCTGCAGAGTCTTGCCAATGGACCCAGTTTAAATCTGCAGGGATAGGTGGTGTATATTCATATGAATTTGTAGACCTGTGACCCACTTTCTTGATATTAAGCAGCTAAATGAGCCACCAGAAATGCTTTTTTGATGTAAATGTTGATGTGGACTTCTGAGAGGTATGTACAACCTGCATTCCAAAAGGACCAGGATTTAAATTAATTTGAGTTCAGTTAATATGATAATATGATTATTCTGTGCTTTCCTGTTCTGTCAGATTAAATTACTATTCACAGCAATTTCTGAAGGCTCTCTTGGAGTCATATTCAAGACTTTGGAGTAAGTGACGCATATGGTTCTGAAATCACAGATTATATAGTATTACGGTAAGTCCTTCTAAAGCAGAGCTTCGTGTCCTTCTTTCTCTCCCTCCTCATGCTACTTCTGTTATCTCTTCTTCTGCCTCCCCCTCCTCTTCCTGATCCTGCTCCCTCTTCCTCCTGCTACTTCCTCCTCCTCCTCTTCTTCCTCACTTTCCTCCTCTCCCCCTTCCAACATCCCAGCTGGGCTTGCGCTCCCTTCATGCAACTCTCCAAGTTTGTAAGATAAACGTGCGCCAGCCCAGCTTGCAACCAGGTGCTCCCCCAAAGCCTTGTTGGAGGGGGACCCCCCAGATATGTGTGTATAAAGGTGTCTTTCTTAGGGTGAAAATAGGGGCAGGGAGAAGCTACCTTTTACCTTAAGCACTGGGTCTCCAAGGGATATTCTCTCTCTCTCTCTCTCTCTCTCTCTCTCTCTCTCTCTCTCTCTCTCTCTCTCTCTCTCTCTCTCTCTCTCTCGTCTGCACCTTTTATAAGATTACTGGGCTCTATTGCACTTCAACTGGGGCTTTTTGTTTTTATTTTGATGCTCCAGGTGCCTCTGTTTTGGCAACATCCTGCCTGCTTTTCGAGGTTTAATTTGGTGTATTTGTGTGTGTGTGTGTTCCTCCTTTTTCTTTGTGCATCTCTCCAAGTTTGCAAGCCAAGCGCGCTCCTACACGGCTAGCAATGGGGGAGGGGCAAGCTATATTTCTCCTTAAGCACTGTGTCTCCAAGGGAATCCCTCTCTCTCATTTGCACCTTTTCCAAGACAGCTGGGCGATTGCACAGTGCTGAGTTGGTTTGCTCTCTCTCTCTCTCTCTCTCTCTCTCTCTCTCTCTCTCTCTCTCTCTCTCTCTCTCTCTCTCTCTTTTCTCAGCACTTCCTCAGCATGCTGGGTCTTTGGTTTGTTTTGCTGGAAGGCTGAATTTAGGATTGTCTCTTTTCCTTCCCATTTTCTTAGAAAAAGAAATTCACTGGTCTAATCTAATTCAATAATAGAAATAAAGTACATTATTTATTTGTTTGTTTAGAAAATTTACAATAAATGTAATGCACTTGAATCATCCTGAAACTTCCCTCCCATTGAAAAATTGTCTTCCATGAAACCGGTCCCTGGTGCTAAAAAAGTTAGGGGACTCTGTTCTGAAGTCTACTATTCTGTTCGTTGCAATTCTCTAGGCCAGGCATGTCAAATTCACGACATCACATGATATCACACAACGTATCAGGACTTTTTCTTCATTGCCGGCAATGGGGTGGGCACAAGTTTTGGTGTGACGCATCCGGCCTGTGGGCCAGCAGTTTGACATGCCTGCTCTAGGCAAACAAATTTAAAAACACTTACTTGAGCAACCAGGATTCTTTAGTTGCTGCTAACTCAGCCTGTAGGATGTAAGCAGAAGAATTGACTTCACTGCATGTGGAGGTCAGCTTTGACCTGAAACATCCAGACACCTTGATAAGAAGCAGCCATCTGAAAATGTCCTTGCTGGTTTTAATATTTATGTCATATTCAAATTATCTCCATCATCCTTAATTATTGACCACGCTGGTTGAAGCTGATGGAATTTGGAGGCTATGGTTATATGAAATGCTACAAGCTTCCCAGTTCTGCTTCAATCAACTTGTCAACAGCTTCTGTAATGCTTCTAGGCACGTCACTTCATAAAAATTGTATATATAGATATATAAAATACAGAGAGAGAGAGTGGAGAGAGGAGAGAGGAAAGAGGAAGAGAGAGAGAGAACATAGTATCATCAGCATTCAGCAACTAAATGATAATTTACAGTATTGAGAGGGGGAGTTGCTTTGTTTGTGTGAGTAGAAATAAGGTTAAAAATAAATAAGTCACATGCCTCATCAAGCTTTGACGCAATATAGCTTACTTTCTCTAAACATTTAAATAATAAAATAGTATGATTTAAAACAGTCATTTCCAGAATCTAGGAAACCTCACTCTACAGTTACTATTAATTCAAGCAGTTAGAGACAGAACAGCTTCATCTATTAGAAATATTATGTCTGCTTTGAAAACATTAAATACTTCGTAAGCATTTACCTCACCTCAAAATCAGCAAGCTGGAAAGCAGCTTTGGAACAATCTATCTGATCCAGAATTTATCTTCTGAATCCCTGTGTTGGGACATGTTTGATATACTGTATAACTATATGTACCGCTATGACAGTCCCAAGGACTTTTTTGTTTGGATTATTGCTTTTGCCATTACAGTATAAATATCAGAAATCATCATTGCTCTAGGCAGCTAGTTAAAATTTCAAAAATAAAGCAAAATAAAGCAATATGAAGAAAGATGAGGCAACCCCATCGTGAACAGGAACGATGGAGCCTTAACATAACGACCTTATCAATTATTTCTTTATTATCATTTAGAAAATGGTAAATATGAAAACACATTAATATATTGTTTTACTTCTCTGTTTTTTATCATTCAAGAACTGTAGCAAAAAAAAACCCTGAATTTGGTTTTCACCCATTACAATTCACTTCAAAATAACAAATTCAATTCTTGCTAACAGTTTCAGTTTGAAGAAAACAGCAAAACTATTGTTCTCTTTTGTAGCTTCAGCTTTCATGCATTGATTCTATTGGTCCGGACAAATAATTACCCATTCTCTCCCCTCAAGATAATCTACAAAACTACATAAATTAACACTGAGATTCATTTAAATTGAGCCCTAAGTTACATTTCACAAGCTCCGTAAAGTGGCATATCTGCTGTTACCTTGGTATGTAGGCAAGGAAACCAATCAAACATTCCAAGTTCTGCTTTGTGGCTGTTAAGCAACAGTGCAGGAGAGAAACTTCTCATTAAAAAACAAACCTTTCCTAAATATTATGTTCCTGCATGGTATCTTTTCTTCACAGAGACATTGCATTTGAAAAATGCAACTTATTTTCTTGCTGGATCATCTGACTGAAACTAATTACATTACTCAACACGTGACAATGTGTGCATCAGGCAAGGTGAATGACGTAAGGAACCAGTTATAGACATGGTTTAAAAAGCAATGATAAAATTGAAGCTTGTAGAAATCCCCATTTTGTCCACATCATCTGGTTAGCAAAAAGTAACCAAGAAACATTTGTGGGAACATCAGGAATGCTTGTTGCTCTTATTGATCCAGAGTACAATTTTCCATTTTGGCAAAAGTGGATGAATTTATGTTATCCTGTGACAGCATCTGATCCCAGGAAAATGTGACAAAACATAAAACTTGCGTAGGCATACTCAGAATATAATTTCTTTACATGTTAATATCATAAATGGAAAGAATTATATTGTATACACATTTTAATACCCTTTACCAAGCTGTATATTGTTAAGATAGAAAAATGTGGGTTAGACAGCATCACCACCAGATGGATCCATAGCTGGCTGACCGGCCATACTCAGCGTGTGGTCCTCAATGGAACCACATCTACACGGAGGGAAGTGTGTAGTGGGGTGCCCCAGGGCTCTGTTCTGGGCCTAGTGCTCTTCAACATCTTCATCAATGATTTGGCTGAGGGGATAGATGGGGAGCTAATCAAATTTGCAGACAACACCAAGCTGGCAGGACTAGCCAACACTCCAGAAGATAGGCTTAAAATACAGGAGGATCTGGACAGACTTGAACACTGGGCACTATTTAACAAAATGAAATTCAATGGTGAAAAAAGTAAGGTTCTAAATTTAGGCAAGAAAAACCAAATGTATAGGTATAGTATAGGTGGTACCTTGCACAATAGTAGCAACTGTGAGAGGGATCTCAGAGTCCTAGTGGACAATCACTTAGATATGAGCCAACAGTGTGCTGCAGCTGCCAAAAAAGCCATCACAGTGTTAGGCTGCATTAACAGAGGGATAGAATCAAGATCATGTGAAGTATTAATACCACTTTACAATGCCTTGGTAAGACCACACTTGAAATACTGCATCCAGTTTTGGACACCATGATGTAAAAAAGATGTTGAGACTCTAGAAAGAGTACAGAGAAGAGCAACAACAATGATTAGGGACTGGAGGCTAAAACATATAAGGAACAGTTGCTGGAATTGGGTATGTCTAATTTAATGAAGAGAAGGACAAGGGGGGTCATGATAGCAGTGTTCCAATATGTCAGGGGCTGCCACAAAGATGAGGGAATCAAGCTATTCTATAAAGCACCTGAAAGTAGGACAAGAAGCAACGGATGGAAACTAATCAAGGAGAGAAGCAACCTAGAACTAAGAAGAAACTTCCTGACAGTTAGAACAATTAACCAGTGGAACAACCTGCTCCAGAAGCGGTGAATGCTCCAACACTGGAAGTTTTTAAGAAGAGACTGGACAGCCATTTGTCTGTAATGGTATAGGATTTCCTACCTGAGCAGGGGGTTGGACTAAATAACCTCCAAGGTCCCTTCCAACATTATATTATTATTATTATTATTATTATTATTATTATTACCTCAACTTCCAAAATTACCCAACTAGTGTGCACTCAGTTTAAGGAAATCTGCATTTGGGTGTGAAAACCTTACAACTGTGCATTTTACTGTATGTTTTATACATTCTGTGAAAGTGTATCTGGCAGAAAGTTCATAATGCTTGTATTCAGACATCTTCATATGTTTAGAGCTTTTCAGGTTACTGTAGGGTTATTTTCATGTAACATTTTGAAAACTTTGGTTGGTGATAACACCTTGACTAATCTTGTAAGCTAAGCGGGGTCAATCAGGGTAAGTATTCGCTTGGAGGACTATCTGGGAATTAAAAATACTAATAAAATAAATATAAAATAAAAATATTAATACAAAGCATTAGCAAGCCATTTCTGTACTTCTTGTGATAAAACTTCATGGATTCAGTGAATGAATAATATTTGGAAGCTGTGGGTTAAAGGTTTTATGCAATGAAGCCACCCAGGGGAAAGGATGTCAAACCATTGTTTGATATCCCACGTTATCTCCCACAAATGAAGGTGAATATATGTGTCCCAGGATAATGTTGCAGGATCCAATCTGGGTCAGTCCTAGGCTAGAGAGAAGTTCCCTGAAGATGGGCTCCAGCATGAGTCTGAAAGCTCGGAAGACGAAACCTCTGGTGCTGGGGACTAACCCAGATTGGATCTTGTATATTATTTCCATTTGTCAGAACAGGAAGCCATTCCATTAACGCCTGTAGGATGCAGTTTCCCAGAAACCTCTGGAAAACTTATCATTTTCATAGGAGACTACGGTAGAGGCCTAACTGAAAATAGGAAGCTAGCAGTAAGGGGAGATAGAGGGGCTAATAATAGAAGGAGACAAAACAGAGGCAAGGTAAAAGAAGGACTTAAAAATCCCCAAAGCATTGGCAGAATCTACTCCAGGGAAACTCTGTTAGAACATCTGAGATGGGAAAAGTAGTTTAGTATTTTGTGTGTTTGTTAACTTCTTTGTTTTTCTTTTCCTCCTGCCCTAAAGTCATAAGGCATATTAATAGATGGATATTAACTTGGGAACCACAACATTAACTAAACTCTGATCTTTTACCTACTGGCCACATTTATCTGCTTCCCAAAGATGTTTTTTTTTTTTTTTTGCCCTGTATGTAGACCAACACACATGTGTGAGCAAATTTGAGTGTCCAAAATTTTCTCCCTTGCTCTCCCCGCAGAGGCCCTTGCTTGCATTAAGCACCAGAAATAATAAATAACAATAAGGAAAACTATGAAAAGGTTTTCTTTAAAAAAACTGTATTCCATAATATTCACATCATTTGTGTTTTATCTATATTTATATATAGATAAGTATTGAATTAAAATTATGAACAGCTCTAAATATTTTATATATCATACATATATTTATAATTACATATCCACAGAAGATACCTTGCTGCACTACAGCCAGCTGTTAAAGCAGAAATAAATTTCATCATTGGCTCCCCAGATATGCATATATTCTGACTTTTTTTTTTTGCAAATTTATTTACAGTTTACTTAGATCATAATAAATGATTGTATGCTCTATTATATAAACATAATAAAGATTTGGGTTTGTTTAAAATACAAAGACTGCAAATGAATACATGAAAAAATACATACCAGGTGCATTATTTATAATTTATAAATGCAAGGTTAAGACCTCTTAAAATTATTGCACTTGACTATTTCTTTTTACATATTTCTCAGCAATCATTCATACATGTATATATGTACAATATATATATATATATATATATATATATATATATATATATATATATATATATATATATATTCTTACACCTACATCAACGCACACATACACACATATCACTTTTCCCCAACTCCTTGGATATCGTGGATATTGTTGGCTTGAAGTTGTATGTTCCCAGTACAACTTGGGTATACGTGGATCAAATTTACAACAGATTAATTATGAATGCTTTGAGTGCATGCACTGAGTATGCCCTCATAGTATAACTGAGCACAGTTTTTGGTCAGCAAGCATAACATTTAGAAGAAAATTATTGTGATGTTTTTGTTAGAGTGGACTATTAAATTATAATGCAAAATTCTAAATTACAGTTAAAGGAATTCTCTGAACAAATGCAGTCACACATGACGTGAGAATTATATCATCATTTCAAATTTCTGCAAAATGATGGGAACTGCATGATTTTTTTTTTTTTTTTTGGAAGGCCTGCTGCATTTTTTCAAAGAAAATGTCATACATATTATTTGTAGTTTTAGTGCTGACTGAACAAACGACTCGTACATGCTAATACTACCCAGAAAAAAGAAATGTTTCTGGTTATGTAGAACCATTGTTCTCCTGAGCTCCACACTGCATGCCGTGTGCCAAGTGATTTGTATATTTTACGTCCCTTGTTTAAAAATGATACTAGTGTACTCTTCTAGCAGTTCTATAGAGTACAAACTAGAAAATAATTACAGTGAATATCGCTGCCCACTTAAAAGTTTTTAACACACCAGTGCAATTTCCACCAAGCAAAATATTTGACATATTATGTATATTATAATGTTTTATAAAGGTACCACAGTCAAAAGCATTTCTGTGATCTGCTTTAAGTTGCTTTATCCCCAATAATGTAAATTTTAAAATGCGCAGGAGTGAAATAAATGCCAAATATGGACATGTTATTTAGAACCTTATCACATTTTTGCAGGATTGCTCTAATCTTGGTGTTTATTTCTAACAATGATCAAACAGTGGGTAAGTGTGTTAAGTTAGACACCTTCTCCCAAACTGTGTATAAGATCTTAAGGGCAAATAATTCATGAATAGTTTCTCAGAAAACTTTTCTCATTTTGTAAAAGTAATGTAAAAATAGAAGCCAACAAATTTTCTCTATATTCTTACTGAGGGTATTAAATTATAAAGAGATCTGATCTAGAGAACATAAGGGGAAAAAGAAGTTTCTTTACCAAGAAAATTGTGATGATATTTTAAAAGAGATTAAGATTTTCTTTTCTCACATCTACTAAAGCTTGGTGCAAGATTCTACAGCAGAGAATAATTTATTTTGTTTTGTTGTTCAATACCAACATTAATACTTGTAACTTACATTTTTTATATTACCTCTACAAATCATAACCAACATATAGCACGCATTACCTGAAAAGATCCAGGTAATTTAATAAATAAAGATGCAGAAGTATCTTGAGTTGTAGTTTGAACTGAGAAAATGATTTGGGACAACAGACATATTTTCATATAACGAAGTCCCAATTAAAAAGTCATACTTCACTAGATATGCAATACATTCATAAATTTATTCCTGGCAGTATTATATCTTTGATATAGTTTCAAATTTCAATTCTGATGAAGCAGACTGTGGGCTGGAGCAATCAACAAATATTAAAGATAATTGAAGCTAAAATCCAATAACCTTAGGAAGTGATCCTGGGATCACAGCATTGATGGTTAAATTTAGAAAATATCCAAAGGGGGATAACAGGTGCTGAAGAGAATCAATATAGTAAATTAAATTTAATTCACATTCTGAAAAACAAATATTTGTAAAGGACTTCTGCTGATTGCTTGATGGCAATCTGATATCTGGCCAGCCTTTTTTCATGATTGTTACAATATAGTCATATGTGCAATAACTGGGAATAGGGACTATACATGCTAAATAATCTATAGCAGTGGTGGCGAACCTATGGCATGCGTGCCAGAGGTGACATTCAGACCCGTCTTTGTGGGCACGTGTGCCATGCCCCAGAGATGGCAACCATCCCTCTTCAACCAGCTGCCCACTAACTCGCCAAGGTCCCACATGGCCAGATGCATCCCAGCATGGCTGGTTTCCCTCCCCCCTCCCCGTCCCATCCCTCCTGGCCTCGCATGCTCTCCTTTTCCCGGGCACGACCCACCACATTGCCTCCTCAGCTGTCGGCCATCCGTCCAGCTCAGAGGTGGCTTCTCTGAACTGCTGGCGGCAGGCTGCAGGGCCCCAGAGTGTGCCGGTCGAGGGGCCAGCAGGCTATGGCTGCTGATGGACACTGTCAGCCCCCATGCGCTCGCTGGCCTGTGTGTGTGTGGGCTGATGGTGTCAGGCAGCAGCCACCCTGGCTCCTGCCTCGCCTTGCCCTGCGACTATGGCACCCTTGCCCTGCCTTGCCTCACCCCACCCTGCAGGATGAGCCTCCTGCCCACTGCCCCACCTGCCAGAGACCCCCTGGATCTCCCCCAACCCTGCCCTTCCCCCACAGGCATCCCTCCCCATGAGCAACATAGAGGTGACCATGCCCACCTTGGCCACACCCACCCAGTCTGCCATGACCACCACAGCCATGCTCACCCAGTCGGCCACACCCACCTGGTACCTGGCGATAAATAAGTGGGTTTTGGGTTGCAGTTTGAGCACTCGGTCTCTAAAAGGTTCGCCATCACTGATCTATAGGATATGTAGAGGGCAGAAGGCTGAATCAACCAGATCAATCTATCATATGAAAAGCCAACATCCCCAAGTCAGCTATTTTAAAACTTTTCCTTAGTGCTTTTCCAATATTCTACTAGTTAATTAATATGTTGTGTTATCAAACACACATATTGTGTATGTACATTATGTACTCATACACACGGTTATTCAGATGAACCAAATACATTAATATTTGGTGTATGCTTTCGTTAATACTTCCTTGGTTGTGCCACACGCTAATAGCTGCACAATGATGAAAGTGAACAAGCTGAATACCATGAAGTTTAGGCAAGAGAAAGCTTTCCCACCCCGCCCCCCCAAGAACCTACACCTTTCAAAATACCTGCTAGGGCACAAAACTAACATCTACAAATTAGACATATGTTAAAAGCCCTAGTGTTTTTGTGCAATTATATTTCTAACCAGATTGTGCACATTTATAAATAACAATATTCCAAGAGTGGAAATAACCATTTCTCCCCCCCCCCATGCTATTAATCTCTTAATCTCATCATTCATTATCATGATCAATGTTAGCCAGGGAGTTGGGAGCAATTGTTCAACAAGATCTAGAAGGGTATCTCTATTGTATGTGCTCAGTTGTAACCCAGATTCTTTGGATCCTCTGCAATAAAATAATTAATTAAAATGACATTGAACTGGCACAGTACAACTTGTATAATATCATTCATAATTAATCTGCTAAAAATACAATTATATTCCAGAGAGGTAGCCATGGTAATCTTATGCACAAAAACCAGAAAAGGAACAAAGAGTTATTTGTCCGGAATCCATTTTAGGATCCATATCTCAGTTTATAAAATCAACTATTTGTTTTCCAATACTTGCTTCATTTGACTCTTTCAGCATTTGATAGTTATGTTTGGCCCACTGTCACATGGCGCATGAAAGCTCACGCATCCAGCAGATGTCTGCCTTTGAGCATAAGGTTGGAATGGGGCATACAGTGGTGATGTGTATGTATTGTACATAAGATTTTGCTGAGAAGGCCTATATGATAGACCCATTTAAATGCTATATCAAGTATATGAATGAAGCAAAGCCTATTTCAGCAGGAAGACTCTCCTGCTGAGATAGAGAGAAACAAGGAGAGGCAGAGAGAGGGAGGGAGGGAAAGGGAGAGGGAGAGAGAGCGAGAGAGAGCGAGAGAGATTTCCATTCAAGTCAATAGAGGTGTTCACACTGAGGTCAGTGATGCTAGGATTAAACCTCATGGCTTATTGATACATTGTCTAAAACTAGAGTAAAGTTAACATATTTGCAAATATAGTTCTGCAAAGAGGTGTAGACATTAGGACTGTACATGCTTTAAAACTAATTTGGAAGAAGCTTTTTGGCCTCCTAGGAGCACAGCTCTTCTCTGCTAACCATTAAAATAACTTAACTTTTTTCAGGGTTTTGTGTGAGCCTGGGACAAAAAAGACATTGCCCCTTTTAGAAGCCAATTTCTTAAGCTTAATGCAACTATTAAAACAGCCACAACTTGTTTCAAGTTCTCAAGGCAGGCTGAAAATTCTAATTAGTGTCAGAGGTACTGAGCTCTTTTAAGGTTTATAACACTTCTTTCAATTTCTTTCTCTCTACTTCACATTTTCAAAGTGTGTACAGCCTAACATATATGGAAATATATCACATAATGAAATTATGTGCAGAATTGGGGCCAAAATCAATACAGACTTTATTCACAGTATGTAAGGGCAAGGGTTTAACGTATCAGCTTTCTTCTTCCACAGGCAACAGGTTACAAGACTAGACAATTTTTTTAAAAGGGAGATTCAAAGAGATTCAAAGGGAAAAGTAGAACAAAGCCCACCAGGCACTAATGAGCAACACAAACGCTAAAAACATGTAAGTATTGTTGTGATTTCTGGAGATTATGACTATGTCTGGAAGGTCCTATTTTTGTAAACTAGCTGGAATTTGGAGGCATCCATCTTTAATATTTGTTTAAACAATGTCTAGCTTTTCCTGACAGATTTCCACCACCACATTTGAAATTCAATCCATTACTGTTAGTAGGGTTGAAAAGATGGGTCTTCAGGTACCTAATGTGATACTTACAACCAGAGGTAAATATTCTATTTCCAGGTAGAAATGGACATTTTCCCTAAATTATAAAATCACTAAAGAAACACTGATATATTTTTCCCAATGTCTAATGGGTGCAATAAAGTAGTTGTTTCATGACGCTAATCAAATAACTTTTGGAGATTAGTATCAGGAAGTTAAATCTCCCATTTGCAGCAAGATAAATTCAAGTACTGTAAACTCAGTGATAGTTTCTGCCCCAGATATTTTCTTCTGGAGTTCAAAGATCAAACAAAAACATTTACCGTATCAGTGTGGAAATGTCCTATTGTCGTCTGGACTTCCCCAGGTAAACCCTGGCATTTAAGCCAGTCACAGTATTGTGTAATAGTAGGTAAAAGTACCAGTGAAACCTCATTACCACAAATACACAATTTAAAACCAAGCCTAGGTTGGCCTTCCCAGTCCAAATCATTTTGAAATTAAGGCCTCAGCAAAATAGCCTATTAAAAAGCCAGTCTTTTATATTTACATGCTGACTTTCGCTTGGATAGTTGAAACTTGTATTCACATTGTATCACCGAGGAAAAGAAATTTGCATTCAGCCTTCCCATTTTGTATTTGCAGGGTTTATCCTTTTAAAAGGCTAAAATTGTGGAATAAAAAGCCTTAAATGTGGATCAGTCAACAATCTTCACAGGGAAAGCGTCTGAGTCAGCACTACTGGACTGCGTGGGTATCCATCCATAAGCTTCTTCCCCTCGTATTACCTTTTCCCATTGTTTGAGATTTTCCCTGGAGAGAAAGGAAAAATTACTCACTTATCAGATATTTTATTGATGTATCAATATACAAGAAATATTTATAAAAGGGGATGTCATGATTTCATCTGTTATCAGCTCCTCCTTCAAAGAGGCAGGTGTGACAGTTAAGGTCTCATATCTGGGCTTTCACTTTGGGGAGAATGACAACTAAATGTTTAGCATCAAGTTGAAAAAGGGTGCCTTTCTTCCCCTGGATGTAATAATCTCATTACCACTGCCACAAAATGTCATCAGCACTGCTTTGTGAATACTAATCTAGTAATGTTGCATACATCTACATTTCTTTGCGTTGCATTTCCCTTTCATCTTGTCTATGACCTCTAAACAGAACTATGAAGGTGGATTAATGCATTCACTACCATTTTTGATTTAGAAATTTAAAACAACAAGAAGAGTAATCAGGATTCCAGAGGGACAGATGCTAGCCGAAACAAAGTGATTATTGGTGATTGATAGTTTGCTTGCAGACATTTTGTTATAGAATTACAGATTTGGAAGGGACCCTGATCAAGCAGGAAATGCTATGCCATTTCAGACAAATGGTTGTCCAATCTCTTCTTTAAAACCTACAACTTCTGGAGGTATATTTATTTATTTATTTATTGCTTGATTGATTGATTATTCGAGCTGTCAGGAAATTTATCCTTAGTTCTAAATTGGTTCTCTAGACTAGATAATGTGTTCAGTACCCAGAAATATGTACAAGCAAACAGCCCAGAGAGCACCACATATTCCATAGCTGAACACTGAGCTACATAGATTCTCTTCTATTGGAAAAATTAAAGAAATTATGAGGCAAATAGCAAATAGCCCTTCCAACTCTATTAGTCTGTTGCACCTGATATACAGTACCTCCCTCTTCTCCATTTTTTACAGTTCTGAAGAGTCTTTAAGTAGAAATAATCATTTAATACTCCCTCCTTATGTAGAAGTAAGATTATTTAAGGGTTTTCAATTGACCATTCAAGTCAAATTCATATTTACCTGCATGCTCGAAGTAGTGGTATTGTAGGAGGGAGGATTTGTGCAAGTGTACCATAGCAGGGCAACGCTACAGCATTATAGAACCCAATCTTGAAAAAAAAAAACACTATTACTTAAGTATTATTCAACTCAAAATTTGCAACAGTTTGTTTGTTAACAGACTATCATACATTCTCATTATATTTTACAAATGTATGTTAAATCTCTTTTTCCTTTCTGTTACAAAATGGAAAGAAGCTAATAAGCTATCAATGTTCTTCTTTCATAACTCTGGATTAGTGGGATGAATATTATTCACTGCCAAATCATTCATAACTTTACAAGGGACTATATAAGAATACCAGATTATGCATAGGAGTTGTTCATAATTAATAAATATAGGCTTTCCTTCACTGTTTTTAAGGATAAGTAATTTGGATCCTTTAATTGTTTAATAGTATTATCAAATCAGCACATTAATGTTAAAAAAGTCACCTTATTGGGAAGATAGGAGGGATAAATATTAATATATACAATGGATGTTTAGTCATTGTTTATTACGTTGGAGGTCTTCTAGTCCAATCCCTTGTTCAAGCAGGAAACCCTATACCATTTCAGACAAATAATGGATATGTATATTATGCTCAAATTAAAATCTATTCAAAAGCTATTTTAAACTTACCTGACCCTGAGGAACCTCATCTTTTTTATCTCTGTCCATCATAGGTATAGGTTGAATACCTAACTTCTTCATATCATCACCCTGAAAGAAAAATAAGTGCTTGAGAATATTCTTCATTTATTTCTTAATTATTTAGCTCCCAATAATAAAAATTAAAGACATTAAATATATAACAGAGAAAAAGGTAGAATTCTGAAGACAAACATAAAATTCTTATGTAGACACTCTTGGTGTCTATAAACTGCATTATTATTATTGTTGGTGGTGGTGGTGGTGTTATTATTATTTATTTGTTTTTAATTGTTCCAGCTTTTCAAGTGCAAGCTGCCCAGAGTTGCTTGGGGCCAGGTGACCTTTAAATTACAAACAAACAAATAAACAAATAACATCAATAGTTCCAATAGTTCAATCAATCATTTACAAATCTTAATTTTCTGTTGAAGGGTCTGCTGATAGATATGAAAATGAATCCATCATGAAATGCACATACCTCAGCCCAAAATTCTGCATATATATCATTAGCTGTCAGCCTGGTAATATGCCATAATTTTGTCACAGAACACAAGTCACAAGATGTCATCATCAAGCCAATCACACGATCCCTAGAATATAATAACTTGTGTAGCTGAAGCAATTATTTGCCTTTTCAAATAGATCCTATAGTAATAATTGATACTGAAAATTTTTTGATTCAAAGGTAAAACATATCAGTTCAGATAAAACACAAAAAAAAATAAACAATAGCATACTCAGTGCTAAGGATAATTAATACTATTAAAACCATTCAAGAACCTAACAGATGTCTTTTCACAGCAAGATTAATAAATAGCATCAAATAAAGTATTCCAGAGCAATCAAAGAGTCTAGAAAAAGAAAATCTCAACAAACACAATGTAATTTATACTTACTATTGCCATCCCTGTTTTTTTTATTATTAAACATATTGTCCTAAAAATCAACTCTATACATACCTTAACAAATAAGTACACTCAACCTGTTTGGCTATCAAGTGAAGCATTTCAAAATAAAATGGTGCAATATAAAAGGTGAACAGATTGAATCCAGAATGCTTCTGAGGTTCAATTTTATATAAAATTCAACTTGACTTTCAGATAACTTGAAAATGCTTTAGTCCAGAGTGTTACTGAATTTCAGCAATAACTAAGGTAGCCAGGTCTTGGATGTGCAGGTTTTCTCTCTGTTTCATGCTCACATCCAACTCCATCTAATCAGGTTTTATTTTCCACAATACAGATGTAATGTGAGCAAAACCAAAATAGTTATGTTAAGGCCCTCCAAACATACAGGTTGGAACTATCTGAGATTGGAAAAACCAGTGATTAAACTAATGGCTTTGTCAGAAAGACTTATATATAAGTATATAGACTTATATACCACCTCACAGTGCTTTACAGCCCTCTCTAAGCGGTTTACAGAGTCAGCATATTGCTCCCAGCAATCTGGGTCCTCAGTTTACTGACCTCATAAGGATGGAAGGCTGAGTTAACCTTGAGCCAGTCAAGATCAAACTCCAGGCAGTGGAATGCAGAGTTAGCGTACTATACTGCATTCTAACCCCTGCGCAACCATACTCCAAACTGAAAATTATCAGAAACTTCCTGAGTGCACTGCTGAACATATACCAACAATAAAATACCTCTTGATTGAGGGTTTAGCACACATTCCTCAGAACATTTTATATATTAGACTAGTTCTGTAACCAAATACAGGAAGCTAAATATTCAGCCTTCAAAACAAGGAAACATGACTGTGATTTCAAACCATAAATATTCACTTGTATTTTACCTATGTGCTTGGTTTTTAAGATTCAGTGATCTTGTTTGTTGTAGCTCTTCCAGTTGTTTTCGGTTTCCAAAGTACAGAGCAAGGTCTGTAGCAATAATGGCTTTGCGGATAATTTCCAAGATCTGTTCATACTCAGTGGAGTTCAAATTAGAGAAAATATTGTGGCCTTCCAGCTAGAAAAAAAGAAAAGCATATAAAGATTTTACTGTGAATAATTTAAACCTTGTTTTAAGTCTATATAGTAGCTCTTAAAACAAGACATTAGATTTACCTATATGTATTCAAAGAAACAATTATATTCCTGAACTTCTAAGGATCCAGGACATTTTAAAGTGGTAAACAGATTTGGAAGTTGGAAAACATGTGATGGGTCTGTTGAGTGTATGCCAAAAAGCCAAAGCAACACCCAAACCAGTTCCTACTTATTTTTATTATTATCAACATTTCCCACTGGGTATGTTTTATCATCTCTGGTAGACTTGTCACAAAGCACAGAAATATTAGGGCAGATTTTTTTGTCTTTATTCAGAAGTTTATTAAATCAAATATAAAACTGAAACCTGACATTTCTTTTTAGGGCTGATGAATAAAGAATTTGAAAGAAAATTTTGAACTTTGTTATTATATGCACAAAAATGGAAAGACAGGTCAATTCCCACCATAGAAGAAAAGGTGAAAAAAGTGATGGAGTTGGCAGAGAGGGCAAAGTTAATTGAAAAGAAAACCTTATCAGAAGAACTTGTTTCCACCTGAAAATCAATTTTGGACTTTGTTCGAACCACAAAAAAAATTGTTTGATTTTAGGTTTTGATGACTAGAGTAACTTGTTGCTTAGAAATGGTATCTACTAGGCGTCCAAAGCAAAAAGTTGAGGGGCAACTAAGTGTATTTTGTATTCTACTATATCAAAAAGAGACAGAAGTCACTCTTTTTTTCTTTTTATTTTATTCCTTTCCCCTTTCCTTTCTGATTTTTATTTCCATTTGCATTTAACAATACAATAAATCTGAAGAAAAGCTTAAAAATGCTTTCCACTGAATTGTTTTTGCTGTCTCAATTGACTTTAAGGCCTGTTATCTTTCATTTTCTGGGGAATATTCCAAATCAACATCTTCAACACCTGCCAAGTGTGCAGATAGGAAATATGGCCTCACCTGCTTTGCTAGTAACTGAGTTTCTTAAATAAGGGTGAGAAATCTAAATTTTCCTTTTCAGTTTTAACTTTTTGCGACAACATAGCTGATCCCTCCTTCTCCATAATTTCTTTTTCTTGTATCAATCTTGGGCCACTATCAGGAATTTGGTGTTAAAATAAGCTAGCCAGCCACTTTGAGCTTCTCTTTCCCCTCAATCTGGTGACCAAGGGATTCCAATTTCAGCCATAGTTTCATTCCATACAGCATTAACCTTGTGAACTCTTAAGCTTTCTCCTTTCGTTATATTTTCAAGATGGACAGTGTTTAATATTTATTTGTTATGTATATGTAGGTGTGTGGGTCTATACATATGTTGTATATAGTATATTGGGTGTGTGTCATGTATGTGTTCACTTTGAGAGCGGGCAACTAAATTTCATTTTTGACGTGTGCCGTTGTGCCCACAGTAAAAAAAAATGACAATAAAGTTTATCTTATCTTATTTAATACCATTTGGTTGAATCTGTGCACCTGACTTGCATATAAACTGGTCTTCTCAAGGTAATGAGCCATCTCCCCTGTGACAAATGTCACCACTGGCTAGAAACATTCTTGTTCTGAGGTTTCTACTGGGGGGAGGGATGTTATCATTTGTCACCCCCTTCTTTGCCATCAGTTCCTAGAATCTAGGATCTAGGTGCTCCCAACAGGTTCACTCCTGGGGTTGACTGATGATCAGCAGACTTTGATTATTCCCCAACTCTGATAGGAGTAATGGGTACTCTCCTTCTAGTTGATCCCAGGTGGAGTCTGGTGTAGCTGACTCAGCTAATATTCTCTCTGGGACTCTGGATCAAGCTAATCAGATGTTTGTATCACCAAATCTGTTATTCAACAGCACAATAATAAATTTGCTACTGCCAGTCAATCCTGATCTTTATAAAGTCTTCTGAGAACTTACCCTTATTCTAGATTTTTTTTATTAGATGACACATAATTAATTGTTTCTGCCAATCATTTATTTTTGTCTTCAATTCTTACTGGGATCATTTGAAACCAAAAACTAAACATTGATAAAATGTTCATTTTTGCTGTGGTTTTTCTTCCTATCTAGGACTATTTCAACTTTCTCCATCTAATGCTGTCTGCTATTACACTTTTCCATTTTATCCTAAACAAACTCTAAATAATTCTACCCCGTTTTCAATATGGCAGCCTTTCACATACCTGAAGATATTTATTAGATTTTTTTTTATTCTGCCTATATTACTTTATAAATAACTCAAGGCAGCAAACATAATACACCTTCCTCCTCCTGTTTTCCCCACAACAACAACCCTGTGAGGTGGATTGGGATAAAAGAGAGTTATTGGCCCAAAGTCATCCAGGTGGCTTTCATGACTAAGGCATGAAATCTTACCTAAGGCAGGACTAGAACTCACCATTTTTAATTTGGATGAATGGAAGTTGCCTGATACAAGCTTGGTAGTAAAATGAAGGCAAATTTTCTTTTCTACCTAAAGTCTTCCTAAGATTGCTTTACAAATTTAATAAATCACATATTCAATTCAATAAATCCTAACCCTTAACCAAACGTTTTTCTCTGCATTTTGAACTTTCACTTTTGCACTTTTATTTATTTTTAGAAAAACATACTCTGCTCTTAATTGTGAAATAGATAGATTACTTTAAAGGCAGAAGATTTGCCATTTTAAAAGGGGAAGTGTCCACATAGAGCAGGGGTCTTCAAACTTGGCCCTTTTATGACTTGTGGACTTCAACTCCCAGAATTCCTCAGCCAGGCACGCTAGCTGAGGAATTCAGGGAGCTGAAGTCCATAAGTCATAAAAGAGCCAAGTTTGAAGACCCCTGACATAGAGCATCTAAACAAACCTCCTGCAGTTAGATTTGCTACTTCTAGATTTCTAAATCTTAGCCATAAAAATGGAGTGCAATGAATTACCTGCAGTATAGATACTGTCTGTGAAAAATGATGCTGTTCCATGGTTGAGGTGGAATAAAGTGCTGCTAATGGATGATCAAATTTCTGAAGATAGCTGTTGCTATAACCCCTGTGATCCAGGTCATGGCATAAGCAAGCAATGAGAAGACCCCTTCGCTAGAAAAATAAGCAGACAGGAAGTTAAACTTCAAATTATATTTATACCACTAGATGTCACTCTCTACTAGGCCAGACACTTTAGTGATGCCCTTAACATACTGTATAAAATACATGATTCAAGAATGAGTTTGTTGTACCTGGAATGATTGGCGGTGCTAGAATTATGAATAATCAGTGTTGATAAAGGTATGTTTAGGTTTTATTATTATTCATTTTTTTCTAAAGATTATATTTTCTGATTTGGTACCATATAATTATATTTTCTTTTTGCTTGTGAGCCACTTGGAGACAGGATGAAGAAAACCTACAAAATAAGTATCAATGATTCCCAGCCAATTAGCATAAAGTGTTACATTCTGCCACTAAAAATAATAGCCTCATTTTGAGTTCATAAGAGGTAGTTTATTTTATATTAAGATAACAACTTTTAATAAAAAATATATTTTAAAAAGTTAAAAAATAAGAGGCAGTTTATTATACTCAGCCAGATCATCAGTTGCGTCACACAAGGTAATATAAAAGATAATGATTTAATTAATTAATCAATATAGATACCCATGTCACCAGAAGTAACTATGGGGACTGCTGAACAATGAAACATGGATGATGATGATGATGATGATGATGATGATGATGGCAACGACGACAACAACAACAACGAAGACAATAATTCCCAATTCAGGAATTCTTGCAAACCCTCAAAATAAATCCCAGTTTAGCTACCTGAGAGACATCATGGACTAATGATGTAATTTTCTGTTTATTTTGTAAGTACTCGAGAACTAAGGTCTAGACCTTCACTAGGTGTCTGAGCTATATTTGTATCTTGGTTTAATAATGCAAGAAACATGTGACTATTTCCCTGCTAGCATTTTATACGTCATTAAGCACCTGGATTTTCCCTTAGACAAAGGATGTAGAGGTTAAGTGGGCCTGTCACTATGATTCTATTATTGGAGTTGGTTTATCTTTGGTCACTATTTCATCATGTTTTTGTTTTAGCTTGGTTTTCATCCTATGTGCACTGCCCATGAGAGAGCTGTAAAGGTAGTCATTGCTTAAGCATGATAACTGGGACTAGAATTTCCATTACTAAGCAATGCAGTAGAAAAGCATAGCTTAGCAATGGCCATCCTGGCAGTCCCTGTTTGCCATCGTTAAGTGAGGATCACAGGTCATTAAATGAGAACCTCCTCACAACTTCCCCATAGCTTCAAACGAACAGAAACGGGCAGGAAGTTCCAAGTCCCAGGAGACTCAGAAGCAGACCAGCAGGTGCAAAAGTGACTGCTGCAGTGCAAGGGAAACAGAGCCACAGATGTCTGCTGCCAGGTGAAGGAAGGTATGCAGGTGGCCACTGTGGGCAGCTGGGTAATCTGTAGGGACACACATGCTATGGAGTATGAGATACCTGTGAGATCTCAGAGTCTGTAGCCGTGGTTTCAAGAAAAAAAAGCCGTGTGAGTGAAGGAGCATCTTGCAATCTTCCCTGTCGGCTTCCCCATTGACTTTGCTGGTGGAAGTCTGCAGGAATGCTTGCGAATGGGGATCAGATATTGTGGGATGCTGCAATGGTCATAAGAGTGAGACGGTTGCCAAGCACTTGGATCATGATCATATTAGCGCAAGGAAGCTGGGATGGCTGGTACTTCAAGGACCAGTCATAAGTACCACTCATTCAACACCATTATAACTTCAAATGGTTGCTGAATGAATGATTGCTAACCAAGGACTATTTGTATAAGTTGATTAAGTAATAAATTTGCTCTGTTAGATCTCCATGTTGCTTCTTTATTCTTTATTATTATTCATGTGCTCCTCCTCCATGTGCTACAATAACTACATCTCTACAGAAATAGAGCACAACAATGTTAAAAACTGTCTTGAATGCATTTGGGTCAATATAAAAGGGGGGGGGGAAATGACATTGCCATAGGTGTATACTACAGGCCACCCAACCAAACAGAGGAAATAGATGAACTTTTTGCTAGTCAGCTAACTAAGGTATGTAGGAAGCACATCACAATAGTAATGGGGGACTTTAACTACCCTGACATCAACTGGGAGACAAACTCTGCACCAAGTGGAAGATCAAACAGGTTCCTGGCAAACCTAGCAGACAACTTTGTCTCTCAAAAAGTAGAGAAGGGAACTAGGGGATTAGCCATTTTGGATCTAATTCTCACTAACAGAGATGAAATGATAGAAGGTGTTGAAGCCATAGGAACCCTGGGAGGAAGTGATCATGCAATATTAGAATTCAACATTATAGAAGCACAACCAATAGAACACAGTCAAACTAGAGTCTTGGACTTCAAGAGAGCTAATTTCATTAAACTTAGAGAGGGCTTGGGAAGGATTCCATGGATGAGAATCCTCAAGGGGAAAACAACTCACGAAGCTTGGGAAATTTTGAAAAATGAGATAATAAAAGCACAGTCTAGCACAATACCAACAAAGAGGAAAAATAACAGCTCTCAAAAGAAACCAGCATGGCTGCATAAAGAACTCTCTGACAAAGTGAAAGATAAAAAGGACAAGTATAGAAAGTGGAAAGAGGGGAACATAACTAAGTCAGAATATCAGCAAATAGCCTGAGCCTGCAAAGATGAAGTGAAGAAAGCCAAGGCTCAAAATGAACTAAGGCTTGCGACCAAAGTCAAAAATAACAAAAAAAGCTTCTTTCAACATGTAAAAAAACAAGAAAAAAGTGAAGGAAATGATTGGTCCATTAGTGGGTGGAAGTGGCAAGAAGGTGACAAGAAACAGGGAGAAAGCAGAACTATTTAACTCATTTTTTGCATCTGTCTTTACACAAAGGGAAAAAACAGACCAACCTATCAAAAATAGTGCCACAAAAAACAAAATAGAAACACAAGTTAAGATAGGCAAGAAAATGGTAAGTGAGCACCTGTCCAGCCTAGATGAGTTCAAATCGCCAGGACCAGATGGATTATACCCCAAGGTTCTCAAGGAACTGGTAGATGTGATATCGGAACCACTGAACAATATTTTTCAAAGATCCTGAAACACAGGGGAACTACCAGAGGACTGGAAAAGAGCTGATGTAGTTCCCATCCTCAAAAAAGGAAAAAAATGGATCCAGGAAATTACAGACCTATCAGCCTGACCTCAATACCTGAGAAGATCCTGGAAAAGATAATCAAACAATGAATCAACGAACACCTAGAGGCAAACAAAGTCATTACTAAAAGCCAACATGGGTTTGTCAAAAATAGATCATGCCAGACAAATCTTATTGCATTCTTTGACCAAGTGACAAAATTAGTGGATCAGAGGAATGCTGTGGACATGATTTACTTGGACTTCAGTAAGGCATTTGATAAAGTAGATCACAACCTACTACTTGATAAGATAGAAAAATGTGGGGTAGACAGAATCACCACCAGATGGATCCGTAGCTGGCTGACCGGCCGTATTCAGCGAGTAGTCCTCAATGGAACTGTATCTATATGGAGGGAAGTGTGTAGTGGGGTGCCCCAGGGCTCTGTTCTGGGCCCAGTGCTCTTCAACATCTTCATTAATGATTTGGATGAAGGGATAGATGGGGAACTCATCAAATTTGCAGACGACACCAAGCTGGCATAAATAGCCAACACTCCAGAAGACAGGCTTAAGATACAGAAGGATCTGGACAGACTTGAACACTGGGCACTAACTAACAAAATGAAATTCAATGGTGAAAAAAGCAAGGTTCTACATTTAGGCAAGAAAAACCAAATGCACAAGTACAGCATAGGTGGCACCACGCTCAATAGTAGTAACTGTGAGAGGGACCTCGGAGTCCTAGTAGACAATCACCTAAATATGAGCCAGCAGTGTGCTGCAGCTGCCAAAAGGCCAACACAGTGCTAGGCTGCATTAACAGAGGGATAGAATCAAGATCATGTGAAGTATTAATACCACTCTACAATGCCTTGGTAAGGCCACACTTGGAATACTGCATCCAGTTTTGGTCACCACGATGTAAAAAAGATGTTGAGACTCTAGAAAGAGTACAGAGAAGAGCAACAAAGATGATTAGGGGACTGGAGGCTAAAACATATAAGGAACGGTTGCGAGAATGGGGTATGTCTAGTTTAACGAAGAGAAGGACAAGGGGGGACATGATAGCAGTATTCCAATATCTCAGGGGCTGCCATAAAGAAGAGGGAATTAAGCTATTTTCCAAAGCACCTGAAGGCAGGACAAGAAGCAACGAGTGGAAACTAATCAAGGAGAGAAGCAACCTAGAACTAAGGAGAAACTTCCTGATAGTGAGAACAATCAATCAGTGGAACAGCCTGCCTCCAGAAGCAGTAAATGCTCCAACACTGGAAGTTTTTAAGAAGAGACTGGACAGCCATTTGTCCGAAATGGTGTAGGGTTTCCTGCCTGAGCAGGGGGTTGGACTAGATGACCTCCACGGTCCCTTCCAACTTTACTACTATTACTATTACTAACCAGAAAGTTATCAATGAAATGAAAAGTTGATTTAATATTCTGGCTTGTTCTGAATGTGTTAACCCCAGTTCTCCTGTTCAACAACAACCATAAACTAAAGTTCATTGAATACTTTGTTGATTAGCACTGGTATGCCAAAAGGGAATGGCAAAAACTGCATGAATGCAGCTTCTGGGCACTTCCCACCTCTAATAACTGGCTGTTACTGAAAACAGGAGATAGGGTGTTGTATTCCATTTTCTAATGGGACAAGCGTTGCACTGTAATATAATCTGCAGTTTTATTCTGAGAACTGTGCTAATTCAGTGTAGTAATAAAACATAACATTTCATAATTATTATTTCTCCTGATGGCAGCTGAATTAATTCTTTTTCATTAAAGCCATTTAGTCTGTCTCTCTGGTGAATAAAATAGAGTAGCTGTCCAATGAAACAAGTCCTTCATCAGCACAGTTTTTCTGAAAAAACAAATGCAGCACTAATATTGCAAAAACAAAGGGTATTTCCAAAAACACAGAATAATAGGCAAAATGTGTAACATTTTGTCAAAAGAGGGAAAGGAGACAGAGAAAGATTATAGGAGAAAGTTGGCACAAGATTGTGAACTATAAGCAAACAACCTGGTATCCTGAACAAAAAAATAAACAAAGTTTACTTTCACTTTGTACAAAGATTAGGGAGGGGAAAAATACAAAAAATTATGTCTAGGAACTATGATGTATAATATGGTTCATTAGATACCTGAAATTCTTAACAATTTCTTCTACTATAAACATCCTTACATCAATATCAATTTAATATAAGATTCTCCTGATGGATGAATACAGAAGTGCAGTTAATAATCTAAGTCTGACATCTGAAATTAAGAGGGTCTATACTTCATATATTTTCCTCCAATTCCAAAGGATAATACTTAAAAACTGTTAGGGCCTTTTCCATAATGTTTTGAAATATCATCAGAAACAAGATCACGCCCTGTCTCTCTTGGTCAATAGTCACACTTCATTAATACTGATGATGTTGCCTACAGTAGTTTGCTAATGAAATGCCTGCAAGTAAACCACCAAGCACAGAGAGCATCAGTCTTTCATAGAGTTGAGTTTATTTTTAAAACTCAATTTTATAATTGTTACTCTTGTAAAAAAAATTAAAGATTAGTTTCAAAGGTTAATCTTAATTTGGTGCTGTTATTCTTTATTATCTCAAACCATTTTTTCTATTATTATTATTATTATTATTATTATTATTATTATTATTATTATTATTATTATTATTATTGATCATCGCACAGTCAGCCAGATGTTCAAACTGGATTTGGCATTTTTGTCTACCTTTTGAGTATTATTATTATTATTAATAATAATAGTAATATTATTAGAATGGGTCCTCATTTTATCAACCTGAGAAGGATGGAAGGCTGAGCCAACCTTGAGCCAGTCAGAATCAAATCCTGGCTGTGGACAGACTACTGCATTCTAACCAATGCGCCACCACGGCTCAGTCTCATTTATATCAGCAATGTGCCAATATTTCTATAAAGCCCAAATATTCAATTAAAATGGGTTGCTTCAGAGATATTACAATATTACTCTGAAGCAAAATAGACTAATTCTATAAAACAGACCTGGTTTATAGGGGTCAATACAGTGTCACAACAATTGTTACAGAAGAAAAAATTAAAGCCACACTAGCCAAAAAAAGTCTTGGTGGCAGGTTGCCCTGTATGAGAAAACTTTGCCCTAAGAAGGCCTTGATGGGTAAAATATTTCTGTTTATTTGCATAGTGGGAAAAAAGCTGCACTCCAAGAATGTGTATGGGGAAATTGTGGTGGGGATTTTTCTACAGCAAGATCCGTAAGTCTCAGATCTGGCCTGAAACAAAGCTGTCCTATTTTCAAAGTGGTTTCTGCAGATTTTACTTCTGCTTTGTATTTGATTTTTTTTGGGGGGGGGGGGGAATCTACACTTACTTCTAAGTCTGTGAAAGTCTTGTGGTTGTGCTGAAGAATAACATACATGCAATGTGCAACTGTGATGGCATGTTTCCAGTTGTGATAGGGCACTCGACGGTAGTTCTTCTTTACAGACATCGTGAAACGACATAGTTTTTCCAGATCAAAACTTGAAAGAAAGAAAAAAGGAATTGGATGAAGCATTCAGAAGAAAAAGAGTACTTTCAATCAAAACTTCTATTTACTTTTAAATATATATATATATATATCAGTATAACTTTACAAAAAATGAATTTTTAATGGATTTATTTTCTCATCAGTTGGGCCAATTAAGTTCTACTGTACTGCAAGCAAAAGGCAAGAGGTTATACTGAAAAAAGTAAGAGGCATATTCAAGCATAAATTCAGAAATGTCCATTTCTCTCATTTCCACTCAAAGCACAATGATGTATGTTCATATGTTGCAGATACGCATGATGCAAAACATCATAAGTTCTCCATTCTTTTGTCAGATAAGTTCTCTTGCATTCTTCATATTTTCAAAGCATTTGGCTGAAAACAATTAGGGCACATTTCTCTTAAAAATGCCACTATTTTTAGCAGAAATTAAGTCATGCTGGACAAAGCCTAACCTGCCAGCAAATCAACGGAAAAGAAGACATTGAATGCTACATTAAAAAAAAGGCAAGGAAATAAACTTGCGCCTTCATTATTCTGCTTGTATAATGAAAATATGGCTGTCTTTAATACCTTTGTGGGAGATGGATTAGTGAAAGACAAAGGAAGTTTTGAGAATCTATGCTTTACTTTGCCATCTGTATCTACTAGAAATATACCTGTATATGCTTGCTCTAAGGAAGCAAACATATACTTTTTAGTCTCAAGCAATTTCACTGCACATGTGTGAGAAGTGTGGGAATAAACACAAAAAGAGCTGATGTTCTTCTCTTTTGCACGTGCCACTGAAATATTTTGAGAAGCACATTCTAACTCACTTGTGAGAATGGAGCAGCAGAACTGCATGTCCATGTCAGAGTCCTACAGAGCTTTCAATTATAACCCTGAAATTTGAACCCTAAAAAAGAAAGTAATTCTTTTTTTTTCTTTTCTTCTTCTTTTTTTTTTAGGGTAAGCATTTTAAGAGATAGTCACAAGAACAATGCTAGATTGAACCCTACTTTCCAAGAATTTGGTTCCTACAGCCAATGTATTTTCACATTTCCCCCACCCAGCCACACACAGACACATGTACACACACATACTGCATCTCTTCAAAGCTGTGTCCAGGCTAAAAGCTCTAATTACCCTTCCTCCATAATATCAGATTCCATATAAAGGCTCAATGCTGACATCATAGCACTGCCATCTTCTCTGTTGTTAGCTTTTCGACCTCTGTTCATCCTGCATGTGCAAAATGGGGCAGACTTACATCGCAGGAAAGAGAACTGCCTTGCCACTATGCTTACAATTCAAACTAAGAATTAATTGTTGAACACATTTTAAATATCAAAGCTACAACTTGGTTCGCTTAATCTTTTCAAATAATTTAAAATGTGTGGTAATATTATTGCTATTTATATAGCTAATGCCTCAATTAAATGCACTTAGACATCTTCTGATGTCACTGGAATGTATTTCCAAGGATGTATGCTTACATTAACCAACGGAGGTTACTTTAATGTTCAATTAAATCAAAGCTGAAATTTTTAACCCAATCTGAGTAAGCAAAAACTAGAATTATACCTTTGAATCTACAGCCCTTTCAGTCAAATTATAGGTCTTTCTGACAGTGAAAGTCACGTTATTTTTTTAAAAATGTACACTGATTTAAAGTATAGAAAATTAAAGTGCAGAAACTAAATGCCTGCATTAAAAAAAGCAAAATCCCCACATAAACCTCATTAAATATTTATATAAATGTATTTGAGGAGAAAGTGAACTTTTATTACAGATATATAGGCTAAAATGGTAATCCTATAAGTATCTATCTTCTCAGAGGGGATTGTTTATAAATTCATTCTAATATGTTGAAAAACATCTGAATATTTTCAATGAAGTCAATTTCTTTGAAGACATTCATAAGTAGAATCCTCTGGCTTTCCAAAATAAACAGGAAAAGAATTTCAAGTGTATGATCATTTCATGATAGGCAGTTTTACTGATGATAATAATTTCAAAAATTAGATGGAATGGGGCATTAAAATACCTCCTCTTCCAGTTAAGAAATCCATAGACCATCGCTAAAGCTTTCAGAATCAGAGAACTTCAACGGGGATCCCAGTTTTCTCAAAACAGAGGATGTGAATTGATCATTTCATCAGTTTTATGTAAGTATGGGTTTCCTAAAATTTTCCATAGAAAACTTAAAAAGAAAAACCCAACTGCATGATCAAGCAATATAGATCAGACTTCTATTTCAAATAATGTTTGTTCCTGGATAGGAAAAGCAAATTAGGGGTGGAAGTTTGTGTAATGTGGCTACAGAGACAGATCTGGTCTACAGAGGAAGCTTTTTCCTTCTGCACCTCCCTCTATTTGGTAAACTACTGTAGATGGTTCTAAACATTAAAAAAGTCCTATATGTATAAGTTCCTGCCCTATTGAGAAATTTAATAACAATAACAATAATAGAGTTGGAAGGGATCTTTGAGGTCTTCTAGTCCAAACCCATGCTCAGGCAGGAAACCCTATACCACTTCAGGCAATTTATTTTCAATATCCTCAGCTTAATTAAAAATGCTAATGCAATAACATTTCTGTTTGCAAAAATAATTTAATCTATGCAACCTATCTATAGACTCAGTCCCAATAGGCTCTGTTTAGACAGAAACCCTTGATAATACATGCCTCCCAGAGACCACATCTGGTTTCTGTCAAGTGGAGTAATATTTACCCCAAAAAATTACCCCTTATTTTTTTTCTGATTATAAGCACTAAAGACATAGTAACAGAAGCATATACATGTATAGTCATACTATGAAAAATATAGGGGGGGCTGAAAACCCTTTAAAATAACTCTCAATCAAAAGCTCTGCAGGGCTCTGAAGCACACATGGAGATCTGCACAAACTGGAATTGTTCCTTTACTTTATTTCTCTTGATTCTGAATAAATGGAGCAGTTCTTGCTTAAACTAGAGATATGAAAGCCTGGGGGGGGGGGGAAACAGTAGGGGGAATTTTCTTGATTTCTTTTTTTTTTTCATTTTCCTAATTTTAAAAAACAGAAATTTGGAGAGTTGTTTTTTTTTTTTAAAGTATAAACATTCTCAATATAAAAGCCTTTTAAGGCAGACTTTTACCATATTGTTTTAATTCTGGTTACTCCTTTAAAGGGCCTTTGAAATTTAAGTCACTATTTAAGAACATCTAGTCTTTACTCATAAGCACTGCATGCATATGTATGTGCCTTTTATATATATTCCCTTCTCACCCCTATGAAGGGTATATGTTTTCCTCAATCTTAAGTCCTATACCAGAGGCCTGGAAATCTAACAGTTTTGTGCAGGATATTAGCTGCTCCCTAGCAGTGCATCTTCTGAACAGAGAGCTCTAATGTTGTGCCTGGGATCTGTTGAAGCCATTCTCCCAGTTTAGGAGTCACAGCCCTGAATGCTCCTACCACCATTGGAACCACTTTGGTCTTTATATTCCACATTCTCTCTAGTTTTTCCTTCAGGCTCTGTACTTCTCCAGCTTCCTTTCTTTGTTGTGATTACTTGGCGCAGCTACATCTATCAACATCACTATCCTCTGAAGTTTATTATTTCAATGTCTGGTTGATTGGTTAGTAACTGCCTGTCCCTCTGGATCTGTCAAATTCCACAGAATCTTAGCCCTATTCTCCATGATTTTCTGAGGTATCTCCCATCAGGATTTGGGAGGGTCTAACCTACACACTGTGCAGATGTTCCTGTACACAATGCCAGCTACTTGATTGTGACATTTAGTATGTATTAATCTTACACCCTACAGCTATTTATTGCATTGTCACTGAGACTTCTCTGCAGAGTCTACACCTTAGGTCCTGCCCACTATGAAAGACACCTATATCTGTGATTCTGGTGCTTAGTGCCTGTTCTTGTGCTGCTATGATTGATGTCTCAATGCTGTCTTGAACTCAGTTCCAGTTGTCTTCCATAGTCCCTCTAAGTTATTGAGGAAGGTTCTTAGTGTCCTATTGATTTTGCATTAGAGGGTTCATGTGTGTGTGGCATTGAGTCGTAGGCTTTCTTGGAGTCAATTCAAGCTATGCTTAGATTAGTCTGTCTACTCTAGACCTTGAGTCTTGGGCAACTGTTCTATCTATGAGCTACTGGTATTCTTGACCCACATGTGGTGCAGATCACATGTTTAGTAGTTGGATTTGAAGCAGGTAAGATACTTTGGATCTGATGAGGGCACATTCAATGTACCTATCAGCAACACATGATACCAACATAGTAGCAGAGATCCAGAAGTGGGTCAAGAAATGAAAGCTCCCACCTGAACTGGCTAAACACAAGGAAGGACAGTGTGGAGCATAAAAAAAACCGCACAAGTAAAAAGCACAGTTTAACTGCAGGCCATTAATCTGCATCTCCACAACATGGAAAGTCCTATCAAGTGTCCTAACTGCCAAGCTACAGGTCCATATGGGCCAATACATGAGCATGTAGCCAATACAGCGCATGAGTTGGAAGCTACCATGTGGAATCAAGAAAAGATGGTGGGTTTTTTTAAGATGCCACTGACAAGTACTGTAAGTGTATCCATACCAGATCCAATGTACCTTTCCCTCTTGGGACCAGAATGCCTGCACATCATGCTTACCAGAGATGGGGCTGCCATGAAGTAGAAATGGAAGCACAGATCACCCATAGGCATAGGCAGCATTTGATGTGTTTGGGAAATCCAGATAAGAAAATTATAGGTAAAACAATATCATGGCAAAAGTGAATGGCTTCAAGTTATTGCATACAATACTACTTTATCCTTTTTTAAAAAAAGATCACTTTATAGTAAGCTATGGCGATCATTAAAAACATTTAAAATAAAAAAGATAAAGTCAAAGCAGAAAGAATCGGCTCTACAGTGAATATGCTAGCACGCAGACTGAACAGAATCTCTATAGTATAGTCAGAAATATGGTGTTTTATTTTTCTTTTCTTTCCGTTTTCTTTAAATTCGTATTGTTTTTACTTTCTAAAATACCCGTTTTATAAAAAAATAATTTAAAAAAAGAAATATGTTGCTCTGCATTCAAAATGAAGTTTTGAATTTGAAAATGTTGTTTTCAGTCCTAACAACACATTCTACATTCAAGTCTGGGAGGCTTCATTGCTGTACCAATGGAACTAAAAAGCAACTGATAAATAACAGTAAATCCTATGGACATGTACTGTGGGAAAACATCTCTCTGGGCTTACGAAAATAGAGCTTAGCTCTAGGATGTCATGGATGTCTGTGTAGGAATAGGAAATCTGGAAATGTTATGTACAGAAATACTGAAGAACCAACTGTAAACTTGTTTTCAGAAGAGTTTTTGACCCAGCAAGTGCCTTCATTGATTGAAAAGAAAGGGAATATAATAATTTCATTTGGTGTCTCCTTTCTCCATTGATCTCTGTGCTACATAAGAATCTTCTCCAACAGATTGGGAGAACCGTCAGATCATCATGGAATGCAATAGGGCAGGGGTAGGCAATCTTGGCTCTTTTATGACTCGTGGACTTCAACTCCCAGAATTCCTGAGCCAGCTATGCTGAGGGGAAAGGGAGAGGTTTCCAAGCTGAGCCATGCTAGATCAGGAATTCTGGGAGTTGAAGTCCACGAGTCATAAAAGAGCCAAGGTTGCCTACCCCTGCAATAGGGGATCTGAATGAAGAAGGTCTGATCTATGAAAATCACTTTCCTTCTATTAACAAAGATATCTACCAGGTTGAAAACGTTTCTGCAAGCAGAAAGTCAAATTTTAATTCATTAAAAGATATCACTTCATACACCCACTGCTTCAGGCTGTGCAAAGATGTACCTTTAAATGTCAGAGACAATAAAATAATGATTTAATGTGCTAATATAGACGTAATGCATTTCATTTCTTAGAGAAATAAATTTAGAATATAATTAAAAGATCTTCAAAGATTTCTGTTTTTCCCCAAATCATAGGGGGAAAATATAACTTTTCTCTGCACTTCTGCGAACACTTTTGAAACATTTTTACACCTCTAGTTCAAAGATCCATCCATGCGTGTATCAGAGTTCCCAAACATGATCTTGAACAGCTGGATCATGTCTGATGTGTTTAAATGTAAAACATTTGGGGTAAAGTTGGTTGCATGTTTATTGCAATGCAATCTATTAGTTGGCTTTTATGTATATAAAATCACCATGACAAGTTATTTTTATAGTGACATCTCAGTGCTGCAGCTTTACTTCCCTGCCTATAAGTACCCAATACTCTGAACATATAGAGCATCATCTACTGGGAAAATCAAGAAGTGCCCAACCCTATCATTAAGAATCCAACTGCATATCTCTGAATTTGTTAAGTAATTTTTTTTCTGACCTTCACGTTTGTCTTTATTCTTCCATCTTTGAGAAAAATAGAAAAAAGGTCATTTCCTCCACTTTCAATATAAAATATCAGTAGAACTATTTTCCTTTTCTCAAAAGCCCCTAGCTTTACTAGTTATTAGTCTTTAGAGCCCATATGCTATTTTTCTCACTCATGTTCGTCGATCCAAAGGAGTTCATCTTAATTATTCTTCATCCAAATTCTAGTACTAGATTACAGAATTCTGAACATAAACCTCCTAGTTGCCAGTGGGAGAGGGAAGCTGTTGGTGCACAGGCAATGTAGCCAAAAAAAAAAAAAAAAAGACTGATGTTTCAAACTAATTTAATCATTCAACTACACAAGAAGATATGCATAACTCGGGTCATCTTATCTAAAAAAAATTAATCATTGCTTCTACATGAAAATAACCCTTAATCCAGTCACTCTCATGAACTAAAAACACAATTCGATATGATACAAAATTTTTCAGACTTGAAGATAACTGTTTTCTGACAGAAAAACAGAATTCATACTTTTAGATAACAGGAATGATAAAGTAGAACTGGAAATAGGATTTTTTGATCCCATATACCCAAAGCAAATAACAGTAGAGCTCCAAAAGTTAATACAAATGTTTCTTTAAAAATATTTTAAAATTGTAATTTTAAAAAAAGAGATCATACCAGCCTTCTCCACAACATTGATGAATCATGTAGACAAAAATTGCTGGCCAAAAATCTTCATAAGGACCAATGTCAAAATGGAATCTGTTAAAATAAGAAATATAAAATTAGAAGAAATAAATTACTTGCATATTTGTTAAAAGTATGAATATACAATGCTAATTTCATTGATCAGAGTTCTTTTCAACATGAAAAAGTCCTTTCTCTCAAGTAGCAATAATGCATATTTGATTCATACTGGCTTCTACCAGAAATATACAGAAATATGTAACATCTCATGCATTAATGACTTTAGTTCTTTAAAAACAAAACAAAAATGGATTTCTGGAACTTAATAAATGAAACCATTGGTATGGGAAAAGAGAATAATGGTACTTCAAAGAGGGGCACTTCCATAGCATCTATCACCAATCTCCCAAATAATTTATGTACTATTTTCAGACTATGAATGGAAGGAATGAAGAAGTCCACTTCCATCAGACACATTATGAATGAGTATTGGATCCAATTAAATATATATTAAGTGCCCTGATAAAGTTTATTGAAAGAATGATTTAAAAATAAAGTTTATTTAAACATATTTCTAAATTCCTTAGCTGAATAGAGAAGAATGTATTCTTTATGATATCTAACAGAACTTTAAAAACCCTCTACTACCAACAAGGAAAACTCTTATGGAGTATCCCCTTCCCCCCCCCCAAAAAAAAATTGTAAAGAAAAATATAATTTCCCAAGCTTTGAAAAAGAAAAGCTGCATATAAAGTATAATGAATAAATATTTAGAAATCTGAATGTTTAATTAGAATAAATTATGGTAATAATAAAAAATAATAATTATAATAAATCATTATCTTGACTATAATGAATAATCAAGAAAACAATTATCAAAAAAATCAATTCAGTTTTCTTAGTTAAAGTGCAAATAACTTGTTCAAATTATCATACTTTGGATCCATACAAAGACTTCTTTTTTTGGAGAAGTCTATAATGTGGAAAAGGTAGAAAGACAGAGAAGAAGAGGACAACCAGCACAAGACAGGTGGATTCAATTACAGTAGTCTAAAGTCCTGGAGCACAAGGTTGGAAACAGATCATCCAATGTCTATGTAGAAGCCACTAAGGATTGACACTCTTGGTTATATATAATCAATAATTATAATAAAATATACTTTTGATTATAACAAATGTGTACCATATTTAGGTGGTAATAAATAGTAAATATGTGTCATAAGCAGTGTAAAATGAAATAATGTAATCCAAACATTTCACATTATATTTTATCTTGTTATTCAGTTATGTTTTGTAATGTCAATATCCATAACCTCACATTAAGGATCAGAACGATAGAGCTGCCAATTTTGTGGATACTATTTGTGCCTGCATTGTTCTTGTGTACAGCAGATGTTCTATTCCAATTCCCTGAACTTAATAATAATAATACCCTGTGCATTAGAAACACAATAGTGCAGTGACCCCCAACTTTTGGGGCACCAGGGACCAATTCCATGGAGAAAGATTTTTCCACGGATCGGAGGGGGCATGGTTTTGTCTATTGCCTGCATCCCATGAATAGGGCTTTGCTTGTTTGTGTGGCCCAGTTGCTGTCATGCCGCGGACTGGTGCTGGTCCATAGACTGGGAGGTTGGGGACCCCTGTAATACTATGCAGCAGAGATCTGAAATCAACTGTTCTGTTTACACATATCATGGTTATTATGGAACCATGGGATACTCCCAGCATATCTGAGCATCTGCATATTTATCAGGACACAAACTTGGGACATTATCTGCTGATCATAACAATAATAGCCAGTGAAGTACTTATCAACAGTTTCCTTGCCATTAATGAAACATAGGCTTAAAGGAAATCTCAATACTGAAAAATAAGCTAGACAGGTGAAACTGATATTTATACAATATTTCAACCCATTTGAAATAATAATAGGACAATTGGATGTGTGTATTGTGTGTGTGTTCACATGCATGAAAGAATATTCCTTAGGAAAAGATTAGAGGAAAGGATTAAATTGGCCCACAATGATCCAATCTCCTTCCCTAATTGCTTGCAGTTGTCTATTACAAGACATCCATATTAAAATATTTGGCCCTTTAACAATAACATCTACTACATTCACAATAATTACCAAGATCTACTTCAATGTCAAAAATATACTGTAAAAAACATACTGTTCAATTTCTCTGCAGAGTTGTGGTGGGAGTTTGCAATCCATTAAAGTTTTCCATTCTTCTGCTGAACAAACACTGTGATATGAAAGCTTCTCCATAGTTACACGATATATACATTCTGAATGGTGAATTCTGTGATACATCTGAAATCATGATTTAATGGAAGAAATTTGTATTTCCTCTTATAGAACAAAAATCCTAAGGTTTCAAACTAAAAAGTTATTCTTGTTGGTTACACCTATCCAAACAGGCCATTTCTGAAGAGCAATCAGACATAATTTAACAGAAAATAATTTGTTTTGTTTTTCTTCCCCTTTATAGCCTGCTGGGCTGTTTCATTTTGCTGGGGACATGTTCCTAACAGGGATGACTAAGCAATCCCAGAAGTATATACCAAAAGCATATAATTCCAGCATAATCAAGGTGTGAAGATCATCCCAGCTGCCCAGCCAAAGCAAATAGGCACCATTAGAGATCTGCAATATAGGAAGATGCTGGAAATGGATGATCACTTAATGAGAATTGCCAAGGCACCACCATTTTTTACCACAAAAGAAAAGGCATTGTAAACCACTTCATTATTCTCCCAATAAAGTAACATGAATAGAAAATATAAAGTGACTGAGGATGTAGTGTTATTAGATAGGCCTCTCTGGTCAGATAATACTCAACATGTTACTGAGAAAGAGGCTGAAGATATTTGGTAATTATGATGTTACTAGATTAAAGCATTTGGGAGCCTAGTACTTGATGTTGCCATGAAGGAAAAGAAAAACTGAAATGGCAAAACAAAATTACAATGGGTTCATAGAATGCAAAAAGCACGAACATGGAAAAGCTCAACACAGTGGAAGATGGAATGAATCAACAACTCCTTGGCATGCTAGCTATCACCAAATTGAACTGGATATAAATTGGATCCATTCGGTCAGAAGATCATACTGTTCATCATTCAACACACAATATCAAAGAAGGAATGGTACTGCTTTTATAAGTCAGGAAGGATGTAGCATAGGAAGGTTGTAGCATAGGAAGGAAGGATAGGAAGGACACATTAGGAACAATATTTGGCTATTATGCAATCAATGGCCAAATAATATTAATTAGACTATGGGCAACTCCTTAATATAATTATTGTCCAGATTTATGCTCCAACCACTGATGCAAAAGAAGAATAGGTTGACAGGTTTTATACTTAAAGTCAACATGACGCCAACAGAACATGAAAACAAGATGTGTTGTTTGTAACTGAAGACTACAGCATCAACGTTAGAAATATTACAGAGAAAATTATGGCCTAGAAAACTGAAATGAAATAGGATATGATTTACCAATTTCTGTTAATCCAATGATTTCTTAATTGCTAGTTGTAGTAACACAGTCTTCCAGCAACCAAAACATTACCAGATGGAGTACACAGAGAACAAATTGACTATATTATTGGTACAAGGAGATGGAAAAGTTCAGTTACTGCAAAGAAATGGCCAAGGGATTATTGTGGAACAGATTATGTGCAAATTCCAAGCCAAACTAAAGCAGAGGAACAAAGCCAATCAGTTTTTGCAATATGATCTTTACCATCAACCTCACACACACACCCATACCCCAATTTACAAGAAGAACATTAGGAATTAGTGTGAAGTCCTGGACCTCATTGATAGGGAACTAGTGTACTTGTGGAATGAAATCAAAACGTTGCTAAGAAGCATTATGAAAGGGAAAACCAAGAAATAAAAGAAAGCAAACTGGATGTCAGACCAAATGGTGGAAATTGCCAAGAGGAAATCATAGTCAAGAAAGCAAACATCTTAGAAAGGAACTTCACAAAGAATTTTAGAGAGCTGTTAGAACGGACAAGATGCGTATTCAATTATACTTGCTGAAAACAGACAGGAAAACAAAGAAAGTTTCCCCAAAGTTCTCAGAGCTCAGGAGATTCCAAGCTTAATTGATATACAAAGGATGGAAATGTACAGACAGTAAGTGAAGAAGATCAGACAAAGATGAAATGTGTATCCTATTATTCTGTTAAAATCCAAGGAGATATTGAAGATACTTCCAACTTATAAGAATCTGTAATACTAGAGGATAACATTAGATCAGTATTCTGTTATTACCAGTCTGAAGGCTGCAGGAAGTGATAGAATATCTGCAGATATATGGCAAGGAACAAAAGGAAAATCTGAAAACTTCCAACCAAAGTATATCAGCAAATATGGCCAGCTGTTGGGAGTTTACTTAGAAGACTTATCAGAGTGTGTAAAGTATTACAAAATATTATTCATTTTCCATGCCTTTAAAATAATGCTTAGGATCATCCAACTCAGACTAGAGTCTAACATGAAAGGGGAGATGGTTGTAGAAAAAACCAAGGAGCAGTAACATTATTGCTGATGAACAGTGAATAATTGAGAAAGCCAAAGAATATCAGAAAGTCAATATGTACTTCATTGATCATTAAAGGCATTTGAAGGATTATGCTTTGAAAAACAAGATATCCGGAACATCTCATTGTCCTCATATGAAATCAAGACACAAATCAGGAAGCCAAAGTCCAGACTGGACACAACAAAACAAACTGGATGTTTCCAGGTTGGCTGAGAGAAGGCTATAGGTAATCAAAGTCATAGAGAAAGTGAAAAATGTAGGCTAAGTTTTAAATATAAAGACAACTTTAAAAACAGATAGTGGGGGTTAGAACAATTAATCAGTGAAATCACTTGCCTCCAGAAGTTGTGGGTGCTCCAACATTAGAAGTTTTTAAGAAGAGATTGGACAACTATTCATCTGAAATGGAATAGGGTATCCCTGCTTGAGCAGAACGTTGGATTAGAAGACATCCAGGGTCCCTTCCAACTCTGTAATTCTGTTATTCTGTACATCTGTCAACTGTACATCTGTCAACATCTGTACAGTTGTCAATTTATAACCATTTGTTTAATGACTGTTCGAAATTACAATGGTACTGGAAAAAAGTGACTTATGCCCATTTTTCACACTTAGCAACCATTGCAACATCCCCAGGGTCATGTGATCACCTTTTGTGACTTTCTGACAAGCAAAGTAATGAGGAAGCCAGATTCACTTAACAACTGGGTTACTAACTTAATTCAGTGATTAACTTTATAACTGTGGCAAGAAAGGTCATAAAATGGGACAAAACTCACTTAACAACTGTCTCACTTAGCAACAGAAATTATGGGCTAAATTGAGGTCATAAGTCGTGGGCTACCTGTACACTAACACTTAGTAGGGTGGTTATGAAGGCCTTGGAAAAGATTTTAAGATGCTGGAATGTCTTCACCTACAAAGTTCAGAACTGGGCTTTTCCCTGTGACACTCTATGAAAGTGAAAGTTGGATTTGGAGAATGTAGGATATAAATAGGATTGCTGTTTTTGAACTTTGGTTTTGGAGGAGACTCCTGGGAAATCTATGGATAGCCAAAAATAGACGAACAAATGGGTAACTGAAAAATCAACCCAGAGTTACCACTTGATGCACAAATAATCAGAATCAAATTATTATACTTTGGGTACTTTATGTGAAAGCTTAGCTACCAGCGAAGTCTATCATGGTTAAGAGATGGATAGAAAGAGAAGAGAATGATAAGCAGCAAGATGGATGGATTCTATTAAAGCAATGATGGGTGCACTATTGGAAGACCTAAATAACTAGGTTTGAGGTAAATCATCCTGGAGAAAATTGATTGATAATTAAGAATCAACACCATCTTATTGGCACATCATCATCATCATTATCCTCATCAACAAAATAAAAATGTTTAAATATTTGAAATCAAGAACTTAACACAAACAAGCCCACAATATCAGAAACAGTTTAGTACTTGTAATCACTCATTGTACTAAGAGAGGCAATGCCAAAGAATGTTCAAACTATCACACCATTGCACTCATTTCACATGCTAGTAAAGTTATGCTTAAAATCCTACAAGCTAGATTCCAGCAGTATGTGGATCGAGAACTACCAGAAGTACAGGCAGGATTTCAAAGAGGCAGAGGAACTAGAGATCAAATTGCCAACATACACTGGATCATGGAGAAAGCTAGGGAGTTCCAGAAAAAAATCTACTTCTGCTTCATTGACTATGCAAAAGCCTTTGATTGTGTGGATCACAACAAATTGTGGCAAGTTCTTAAAGAGATGGGAGTACCAGACCATCTCATTTGTCTCTTGAGAAATCTATATGCGGGTCAAGAAGTAACAGTGAGAACCGGACACGGAACCACTGATTGGTTCAAAATTGGAAAAGGAGTCCGGCAAGGCTGTATACTGTTGCCCTGCCTATTTAACTTATATGCAGAGTACATCATGAGAAAGGCAGGGCTAGATGAAACAAAAGTTGGAATTAAGATTGCCGGGAGAAATATCAACAACCTAAGATATGCAGATGATACCACTCTAATGGCAGAAAGTGAAGAGGAGCTAAAGAACCTCTTGATGCGGGTGAAGAAGGAGAGTGGAAAAGTTGGCTTGAAACTCCACATTAAGAAAACCAAAATCATGGCATCCGGCCCTCTCAATTCCTGGCAAATAGATGGGGAAGAAATGGAGTTAGTGACAGATTTTATTTTTCTGGGCTCAAAGATCACCTCAGATGGGGACTGCAGCCAAGAAATTAAAAGACGCTTGCTCCTGGGGAGGAAAGCTATGGCAAATCTAGACAGCATTCTAAAAAGCAGAGAAATCACCCTGCCAACAAAAGTGCGTATAGTCCAGGCCATGGTTTTCCCAGTTGCAATGTATGGCTGTGAAAGTTGGACCATAAGAAAGGCTGAGGGCCAAAGAATTGAGGCCTTTGAACTATGGTGCTGGAGAAGACTCCTGCGAGTCCCTTGGACTGCAAGGCGTTCAAACCGGTCAGTCCTAGAAGAGATCAACCCTGACTGCTCTTTAGAAGGCCAGATCCTGAAGTTGAAACTCAAATACTTTGGCCACCTAATGAGAAGGAAGGCCTCACTGGAGAAGGGCCTAATGCTGGGAAAGATTGAGGGCAATAGAAGAAGGGGACGACAGAGAATGAGATGGCTGGATGGAGTCACTGAAGCAGTAGGTGTGAACTTAAATGGACTCCAGAAGATAGTAGAGGACAGGAAAACCTGAAGGAACGTTGTCCATGGGGTCGCGATGGGTCGGACACGACTTCGCAATAAACAACAACAAAATATTATATTAAAAATAATGTTATTTTGTTTCACCTTCTTATTTTTGTAGGACAAAACTTACATTAGCGCAGTGCAATGCTAAAGCACAAAAGACTGCAAACATTTTAAAATTGTTCTCGTCGGTTTTAGAAAAGGCACTTCCAGTTAGCTTGTTCACCATCTGCACGACACCAATAACACTTCCTCGACTCACAATAGGCATGCATAAAATGTTCCTTGTTGTATAGCCTGTGTAGAGATCTACCTCCCTAGAAAATAGAAAGGAAGGAAAGAATAAGAAAAGGAAAACAGTCATTCATTTCATAGTAATGCATTCACTTTATTAACAATAGTACTGAACATTTTTTTAGTGAGTAAACCAATATCCCCTTGGGAAGTCACATAGATGTGTCATGTGCTGTCAACCTTCCTTCACAAAAGAAACGCCATCCTTTAGAGGTCAGTGTAAATCTTTATCACCAGTTGCTATTCCAGTGGATCTAACACTCCACTTCTTATTTTTCACCATAATATCCCTTTCCAAAAGTTAGTAAAGGAGGCCAACCGTGGTAGCAATATTTTCCAAGATGTAGGAAAATAAAGACAATTGAAAAAGATGTGAAGGAAAGAAACACATGAATCTTAGAATTCTTCTGCTCCTATTCAAACTATTTCACATACATTAATTTGTTAAAATACACATAACATTCTTGCAAAGTCAACAGCATTATTTCTGTACTTCAAACAGGGATTAAACTGAGACAATATCTAAAGTCACCCTGACTTTATTATCAGCTTTGATTTGATCCGGAAATATCCTAATGTATACTTCACCACAGAAATCTTCCAGTTAATAAAGAAACTCCATTAATGTATGGGATACACATATTAAGTTGTCCCTGGCCCTTAGGGATGCAGTTGACCAGAGGAAGTGTTTGGGAAAAATAATAATATAACTCATTAAGCCAAAGCGGTGGTGTAAATAAGTGGTTTATCCTAGTGAGAAACTACATTCTGTGCAGAAAACTATATTCAATGCAGTTTCATGAATCTATTAGACGTGTAACATGACAATATGACAAACTGGCAAGCTTAAGCAGAAGTTAAACATACTGTATGTCAAAGCCTATTATTTAACCACCTTATTAACTGTATATGTTTTTCATATACAAATGAATGAGCTTTTCAAAAATCAATTACTTAGCATTCATTCTCCTGGCAACAATACTTTAAAGGGACAATACAATTCCCATATTAATTCATAAAGAAAACAACCTTCAGCAAACATACATCAGTTTTAATGCAAAACTATAAATATATTTTATTTCTTAATTGGTAGCTGGGGATTATTTACATTAAAGGAAACAGCTGTTTCTTTTAAACAATCTGTGTCTTAAAATGACACCCATGAACGCTTCCTGTTCTTAGGTCAATATGTTCTCTAACTTTGATCAGGGTTCCAACTTTATATCCAGTGTTGGAAAAAAGAAATTCTTACCTGGAAATGTTGCTCTTGTGGGAGGGCATTTAGTTCAGAAAAAGTCCAGCCTCTGATGCTGAATAGGCAAGGCTAGGAGGCATTTCCTAAGGAGGTAGGACTTCTTTAGATCTCCAAGGTAATGCCAAGGTAGGAGATTATAATAGGCAAATCAACCCAAAAAATTAAAAAATAAATTGCTTGCTAAAATAGAAGAACTGGCCACCTAAATCAATAGTATCAATGGTTAGAGAGGATTAGGGTTGACTCACAAGTTGGGCAGAATGATTTCCTGCCTATGAGAAGAACTGAAATTCAGAACATAAGAATTTCTTTTTCTCCCCTTATAGGCATGAGGACATTCACCTCAGGGATGTAAAAAGACCAGAACAAAAACCAGGACAATACATCACATGTTTAATTACCTCCAAGACATCTGGAGGAATAAGCCATGATTTCCTCTAGAAGTGGATGGAATATTCTGTATTCTAATTCCGAAAGAACTATGACTATAGAGGATTTGTTTTTCCAGAGGAAAATCAGAGCAGATTAGTTTAAAAGTTTGGGTTAGAATTTGAGTCCTTTCTGTACAGAGTCCCTCTTTTTCAGAGATCTTCCATGAAAAAGAAGACAAGACTACTCTGGATGAACTGATGGAAGACAAGTGGCAGATCACTGAAAGGGAAATTTCTGTCAAGAGTCACATTATTGACATTCATCAGCATCTGAGATATGCATTATTGACATTCTTCAGTATCTGAAGGTTTTTGCAAGCTGTGTTCTTCACATGCTGATGGAAGAATTAAAAGCTTAAAGAGTTGAAATTTGCCACCAATTATCATCAGAATTTAGGTGAGGAATTTCTTCACAGCACTGTGGCAAGCTAACTAAACATAGTCTTATTGTTATGACTCAGAAATGAAGGATCGGTCCATGAAATATCATCACAAAGTTTCACTTTCAAAAATTCAAAACTCAGGTTAAGTAGGTAAAAATCTATGGTTACAGATTTTTGGGATACAGATGGTGTTATTCACATAGATATTTTTGAACCTGGCATTGCTATCAGTGCTAAACTACAACGCTCAACACTTTGACACAACGATTAAGCAGAGTTCAGAAATATAAGGACATTTTGCTGCAGAATGATTAAGACTTGGTGTCTGGTTCTTAAGGTCTAGAAATGCTAATTCTGAAGGAAACTAGTACAATAATCAAATAAAGAGGAAGTCTGTGAAAAAAAAGAAAACTATACCATTTTTCTTTTTATTATTCCCTTAATGCTTGCATTGGGGTAAAAGAGTGCTCTTCTGTCTTATAGATCACTATCAAATGCTGCTCCATGTTTCTACAATCTCAATTGTTGGTATGAATGCACTCTTCATTATATATTAAAGGATTAAAGGATTCTGTTGTTCTAAGAGTACCTCCTCTGACACAAAGTCACACATGATTTCTACTTGTGTGGGCCTCCAAACTGAAGGACAAGAGAAGACAAGGTGAAATTCTTTACGGGAACTTAAGACTTTTGGCCAGTTGAATTCAAATCCAGCATTTCCCAACATTAGGGGAGAGATGAAATATGCCAAATCAATAATGCTCCACAGCATGAAAAATGG